TTGTGAGAGGAAAAGGATCATTCAGGCCTTCAGTAATGGTGCGAATATTCATACTCTGGCTTCAATCTTCAACTTCCATTCAAGAACCATCAAGAGAACAGTGAAAAAGTTTTAAAAAAGGGGGAACAGTAGAGAGGAAGACTGGATCAGGAGGTCACAACAGGAAGAGGGATCATCTTTTCAAGTTAAAGCTCATGAGGTCAATTAGATCCAACTCAATTAATAAGACTTTTGGCACGTGATAGATGAGTTTCACCAATGAGAGTTCAAAGAGCAGTGAAACAAGATTTGAAAATGGAATTGTACGAGAAACATGTGAATCATCTTTTTACTCCAGGACAGAGAATTAGAAGTTAAGAAAGGGCTAAGGTCATCATCTTGAATAAGCTGGAAATGACTCCGAAATTATATAAATACATTTATAAACGCGTCTCGTATACACGAGTTTGTCGTTACTTTGAAAAATTTCATGCAACAAAAACATATTTGATATATTGAAATCTAATTGTCATTTTTGATAATGGCTTATGTAAGCCAAAAGCTTAGATTGGATTTAAACATGTATCAATATGGTGATTTCCTCTATTCTTCCTCAATATGAAAGGAACTTACCTAAAATAAACAGACAAAACTATAGTCTATATTATTTAATGAAACATGCATCAATGAAAAATTGCTGCCTAAATATACACAATATATTTATAAACATACTTACATATATATATATATATATATATATATATATATATATATATATATATATATAAGTAGTAGTATATTCTTCGCACATTGTGTTAACGGTAAGTTCACCGAGAAGAATGAAATTATATTTTAAACTCTTTGAATCGTCTGGTCTGGTGCTTCTGCTATTCATCTGAATGTTCTTGACAATATCCAAATAAGGACCTGCAATGTAATCGATCCTAAATCTCGAGTTCAGCCATTTTCTCATCGCCCTGACTTGACTTCTCCCTGTTTTTCTACAAATATTTTCATGACAACTGCTCTGGCGAGCTTTTTTTCCTGGTTCCCCGACTACATGAATTTAAACGTGCTACAATATGGGCATCCTTTTACTGTTGAAACAGATAAATGCAACCGTAACTTCTACTCTAAGTGTTTCTTCTCACGAACTTCTCGCCTGTGGAACTCCGTTCTGTTTATTTGCTAACCTGATGAATGCAATCTTCAAACGACAATCGCAATCTTCTGTCTTCTTGAATCCTGTTCGTCTTTTCTTCTTTCCTCAGTGTTCCCTATACTCAGTCTTTTCTCTCACTTTCACTCCCTGTAACCCCCTGCTTACTAGTGGTATTCCCACCTTGCTTGGGTGAAATTATAAACAAAATTTGAATGCAACGTCAATCACTATCTTCAGTCTTCTTGAATCCCATTCATCTTTTCTACTTTCTTCAATCCTCCCTATAATGCCTGAACACTCACTTTCGGTTTCAAAACCTATTGCATACTAGTGGCATTACAGTCTTGCTTCAGGTGAGATGATTAAAAAAGTGACATACTTCATGTCAGAAAATATCTTATACTTTTTTATATTTTGATATCCTCAAGTAATTCTTTGCATAATGACATAAAATTTTATCGATGATTATTATTCATATATCCTTTCCGTGTAGATTAAGATTATTCGAGATTTCAATCGTTTTTGTTCTGTATTTTACTGAATGCCCTTGAGCAAGCTATGTAAGGTACTTACGAGTCGTTCTGCATTTTTATTGCTTTTTATGACAGAATTCTAACAATGAAAATTACATTTATTGTTGCAACGTCTTCAACAAAGCCAAACCGTTCTTGCACTCCGACCGGTCTAATTCTGCTACGAATTCCTTGCAATGCTAATTATTAGTTTCGATAGATAGTTCATCAGTTTGATTGTTCATTCATTCCTAATTTCTTTGTCAGTGTTAGGAAGATTGATCTGACGATGTCCTTCCTTATTTTATTACTCACGTATATTTTCTTTTATCACATTAGAAATCTTATCACACCCCAAATTATCGAAGACTCTTAACATCTCTATAACAATCTCACCAGCTGCTGATTTCGTCTTTCATATTTGCCATTGATGACTAGTTTAAGGTCTGAGTATCATAGTATCGGCCATATGTTTTAGAGATCATACAAGTCAAGCCTAGGTTATGAGTAGCAAACGTTCTCCAGTGTCTACCATTTAACAGTTTCAAACTCTATCTATCTATCTATCTATCTATCTATCTATCTATCTATCTATCTATCTATCTATCTATCTATCTATATCAGTCTATTCATATCTATGTATGCGTGTATGTATGTATCTGCCTATCTATACGTGTGTGTATATTTGGCGTGTGTGGAAGTGCATACATTTTGAAAAAATGTTTTTAGTCTGAAGCCTCACCCTCCACACACACACACACATACACACACATATACATATGTAAATTTATATATATATATATATATTTATATATATACAGTGTGCAGCTGATATTTGAGGACATACTGATTTAAAATTAATACTGCTTCGCACTAAATTCTAATGTTTTAATTTTGAGAAATCACAAATGGCAAACCCTATGATAAATGAAAATGATAAATGAAAATGCATGCTGTGATTGTGGCATTAAAGGCTGATCATAGCAATTTGGGTATTGCACGTTTCCACAAAGTTGCAAGATCCTTTGTCCGCAACAAGCGAAAAGAGTTAGAAGACGCTGACAGTTCCCCAATATCTGCATCAAAACGTAAAAGGCATTCTGTACGTTCTGATAAAGTGAGAGCATCCAAATTTATTCAGGAAGTCAAGCAGACAACTGATGAAAACTGAGGTCAATCAATGAGGTCAATTGCCAAAAAGCTGCATGTGCATGAAAAAACAATCAGAAGGAGTGTTCATGAAGACATTCGATACAAGTCCTCCGTGATGAAGAGAGGTCAATTTGTGTTTGAAAAAACAAAAGAAAACATTTGAAACAGATCCAAAATTCTTTTAAACAAATTTAAAATACTTCAGAAGCTGGTTTGATTTGGCTTTTCTCAGATGAGAAAAATTTTGATCAAGATCAAAAAGAAAAGAAGAAATGACAGATGGCTTTGTTCAGATCCTTCTGAGGTGCCAAGCGTGATGCGCACAAATTTTCCTCCAAGTGTTATGGTATTGGGTGTTGTTAGCAATGAAGGACGTGTAAAGCCACCACACTTTTTTTCGACAAGTCTTAGAGTAAATGCTGCTGTTTATATTGAGGTTCTAGAAACAGTTGTCAAGCCCTGGATTGACAACATATGCAACGGCAGGGCTTACATATTCCAGCAAGACTCGGCTCCATCCCACAAGGCTCTACGAACACAAGAATGTATGGCTGACCATTTGTATGACCACATCACACCCAACATTTAGCCTCCTAACTCTCCAGATCTCAATCCATTAGACTATTATGCGTGGAGTGTTGTTGAGAAGGAGGTTAATAAACAGCCTCATAACACTAAAGACTCTTAAAGCTGCAATAGTTCGAGTAATGTCTGACATAAATAAGGACCAATTAATCAGAGATTGCAGCCGATTTCGACTTCGTGTAGGGGCAGTTACTGATGCTAGTAGATCGTAAAGATATATCATAAAGAAATACACTACCCCAATTGACCCTAACACCAGCAAAATCAATATTACAACGAACTAACATCATTTATCAGTTCAAATGTCTTTTAAGGAACCGAATTCATAAATAATTGCATCGGTCACACTACTACATGTCTATTCAGACACCTTATGCTACCCTTATCCGACCACAGATCCATTAGAACTCATCTTAACACACACAAACTTACCAGACTTCACCAGAAACATATTAGTGGAAGATACAAACATAGCTACCTCGTCCACATGTAAGAAAAAAAAAAGATTAAAAATAATGGAAGCCTTAATAATAAAAAAAGAAAAGGCCAACACTTAATAATATTAACTACGAACACGGCCACAATGTTCTAACTGTGCTCGGAAAATAAAACATTTCTATAACGCTAAAGACATACACACAACCGACAGACCCAATTAAATTAAAAAAATAAAATCAAGCGCTCGGAATTATACAACATTTGGACAGTTTCTACACATTCTGTGACTAGAAAACACTTATTCGAACACAAGAAAATGAAATAAAAATCTTAATCGCATTACTTTGTCTGTCCTAGTTAATAAAACATGTATAAATCAGGGATTGCTGGATAAATGCACAATATATATATATATATATATATATGTTTTAAATGATAATGTTATTAATATGAAAAGAACTACAAATAAATAGAGAAAACGTGTCTATATTATTTAATAAAATATGCATCAATGAATATATATATATATATATATATATATATATGAATATATATGTACATATATATATATATATATATATATATATATAGATAGATAGATAGATAGATAGATAGATAGATAGATAGATAGATAGATATGTCAGTGTATATGTATCTAAAAATCATAGAAAGGAAAAATGCGAGAAATATGGAAGCGAATTTTAAGCAGAAAAGAAACAAGAGAAAGTGAGACTGATGGATGAAATGAAAGAATGATGAAGGAAGATTTTATGAAAGAAGTTTTGAAATAAAGATTTTCATGATAGCAAAGAGAAAAATAATGAAAAATAATTGTTGTGTCGTTAAAAATAAAAAACAAAGTGTTAAAACAATGGAAACAAAATAAAAAACAAACAAAAAACAAAAAAGCAAGCTGGGTTTGTTGGATTCTGTGAAATTAAAACCATTTAATAGAATGTGGTTGGATAAAATAGAAAAATGCCATATTAAAAAAGAAGAAATAAATGGAAAGGGAGGAATAAAAATAAAGCAAAGAGAAAGAAAAGAAAAATAAGAAAAGAATAAGAACTAGAAACAGAGTGAAAGTAATTGAAGCGGCACAGTGCATTGAGAAATTGGCAAAAAGAAGAATTGTGTGTGTGTGTGTGTGTTTGTGTGTGTGTTTGTGTGTGTTAGAAAGAGTGATAGAGAAAGGGAGGGAAACGTAGGTTGATACAAACATGTAAAAGAAGAAGAAGAAGAAGAAGAAGAAGAAGAAGAAGAAGAAGAAGAAGAAGAAGGTTAAAACAGGGGGTGAGAAATAATAGAGGGAAAGCGACATGATATATAATGATAAAATGTCTAGAACAGAGGAAGGATTAAATGAGATAAAATATAGATAGATAGATAGATAGATAGATAGAGAGAGAGAGAGAGAGGAATATAAATAGATAGATATTAAAAATTGTAAGATATTATAATATACATACATACATACATACATACATATCTATCTCTCTCTCTCTATATATATATATATATATATATATAGAGAGAGAGAGAGAGAGAGAAAAAGAGAGAGAGAGATAGGTAAAATTGTAAGATAGATAAATATGAAACACATGAAAATTATTAGTTAGATATATAGATATGAAAAATTATATATATATATATATATATATATATATATATATATATGTTAAGATAAATAGATATTTATACATACACATACATAGATACATACATTTGACAAATTTTAATATTTGTAAAGAGATATCAACATACAGAAATATTCGGATAGATAGATAGATAGATAGATAGATAGATAGATAGATAGATAGATGTTCAACACTGAAATGTCTCATAATTTCCTGAAGACTTCGATGAAGGTAAATTGATTAGCGAAACATGTTAATTTTTCAATCATTTTCCTGCTTCTTACTTATTTAATCTTTCTGTCGAATTTAATCCTGATTTTCGAGTCGAAGCTCTGGAGAGAAAACAAGACAAGATATTGTTAGAGAGAAAGAAGAGATAAAAGATAGACAACGAAACATGTCTTTTCATATGAGAAACAGACAATGGAATGAAGTGGGGTTGTAACAAAATCATTTTCAGAACATTTCTGAAGTTTCTTTGTCTCCAACGGAAGAAATTCTCATGAATATGCATTAATTGACTTCAACCTGAATTAAAACCAATCTGCGTTGTCTTACGTCAGCGATGACGTCATTTGTTTCGGGGTTTGAGGTAGGCAAGATCAAATCTGTATATATTGTGAGGGAAAATTTGCACGTTTCTTCTTAGTTGACGGTTAAACTACTTTCCTTGCAACACATTCTTTAATATAGCAAATGATCGATGATCCTCATTGGGGACTATTGATTCATCTTTACTCCACTTGGTTTGGTTTGTTTTGTTTTAAGACATATAAACGTTAGTGGGTTATTTAATGCTGACAACATTTTTTATTGCTGGTAATATTTTCTTTCAAAAATCTATTGCCGGTAATATTTTTTTTCTTCAAAAATTCTTTTTCTGGTAATATGTTTTTTCTTCCAAAATCTATTGCTAGTAATATTTTTTCTTCAAAAATGTATTACAGGTAATATTTTCTTTTTCAAAAATGTATTGCTGGTAATAATTATTTACTAAAATGTATTTCTGGTATTAAAACCTATTTTTACACTTTCATAGTGTTTTGACCCCAGTTTAGGGTTTAACTATTTATCCATAGCTGGGACCCTAACAGGTACTACCACCCAGGATCAGGGTAGGCCTTGGAACACCAGAAATTAAGAAGTTTGTTACACGCTCCTCAAAACCACCTGATCGGAGGCCTTGCTGTTGGACGTAGTTTATCGTCTTACCCAGGACAGTACGCTACTTGGTTAATATGTATAATTAATCTACCATAGATCAATGATAATCGAAGCTATTTATATTTGTCACTTTATTGAAGTCTATCCTCATTATATACCTCGTTAATAGTTACTGAACCATAGTTGATACTATCAATATTCTTGTCTACTAAATACAAATGTTGTAATGATTATAATTTATAAAATCATCGTGTCGTTGTAGACAAACGTTTCCCCATAAATTTTGATATGTTAAATAAATATATTTGTTAAGAGAATATTACTAGGAAATATGACATTAATAAGATTACGGTTCTTATAAGCATCTAGCCGGGGGCAGAACTAAAGTACTATTGTACTTGTCACGTGTAGTTGGTACACAAGAGTATCCAAAAGAAAGTTAGATACGGAACAGTGTTTTTTCTTTATTAGTTCACCCAGAGTAAGGCAATGAAGTCGCTAACACGTAAGTGGAATTTACTAATTTAAAGAAAAATATAAGAAAAACATTATTACAGACTGAGAGCAATAAAGAAGAGAATTTAAGAGGGGAGAAGATAATCTATTGCCCTTAACGTCTTTTAAGATCAAATTTTTCTTGAAAGAAAGAAACCAGAAGAGAATTCTACAATCTAGAAGTGCGAGAAAATTATATTTAGTATAGAATTTACGGTTGCATCTAACCATTTTGATTGTAAAACGATGAGACCTTACCGCCAATCTAGTACTGCGTTTACAGTCATACAGTCTATATACAATAGAGAATATTTCATCCAAACATTTACCATGAAAGTGTTTATAGGAAAGGGATAAGGAATCCATAAATGGCGAGGGAACGTGGCTGAAATCCTCATGCCAGGTCAGGTTAGAAATATTTTCATAATGTACACATGCTAGTGTAATGAGAAGAAACTCCCCTGGGTATTCTTTTACTGAGGCCTTGTGCGCGGGCAAACAAAGGCTAGTAAATTATCAACTTTTTCGTATTTCTCACAAACCTGAATCTGCTAGAAAAAATACAGAGTAATTTTTAATATCAAAAACGGAGATGGAGAGGAGACTTGAAGTAATAGAGTTGTGGTTCTACAGAAGGATGCTGAGTATACAATAATCGGAATATGTGAGCAAAGAGGAAATTTTACGGAAAGAAGAAACTATCAGAAATAGACAGCTGAAATTTCTCGGGGCCATAATGAAGAAAGAAGGTTTGGAAAATTAGACACTCACAAGATATCGTGAAGAGGGACAGATGAAACATTAACTAAATAAGATTGTGTAATCGTATATCAAAACAGAGATTTTTCGACTGTTTACATTATTCGGACCATTGTCCTCATATTTGTCGCCGTATTTATTACAATGTTTCGGCAGTTGCAAGCTTCGGCCTTTTTCACGTGGTTGGACTGTCGAACTGAACCCTTTATTTTGCTCACTGGGTTTAGACTGTTCTAGTTCCACTTGCCATGTTTAATCGATATTATTTATCAGTTATCTCCTGTTAATGTCCCTCTGAAAGTTAACCGGGTATTGAACTCACACTCTTTGGGTCCTGACATTGGATCTAACTTTATCTACTGTGCCATGGGCCCTTGAGGAAATAAAGGGTTCTGTTCGACATTCCAACCACCTGAGGAAGGCCGGAGCGTACAAAGGCCAGAGCGTACAAAGGCCGGAGCGTGCAAAGGCCGAAACGTTGTAATAAATATGGCGACAAAGATGAGGACAATAAACCGAATAACGTAAATAGTGTACATAATACCTCATCTCAGAAATATAGACAAATACTGAATGGCCGAAATTTTGTAATAAATAATCTCAGAAATATAGACGGGTACTGAAGGGCCGAAACGTAATAAATATGGCAACAAATATGAGGACAAAAGTCTGAATAATGTAAATAGTATACGTAATAGCTCATCTAAGAAAGGTTGTCGTAAATAGACGAGCATAGGAGAGAAAGGAAAGTTGTGGAGAACTATGTTTGCGCACGTTCTGATGAGACACAGGACATAACAGAATAAGAAACCTTTCTTTCATGTAATTCGTAGTTTCTTTCCATTGCAAATAGTCAAAGCGACGATAACACAAATAGATGGCAACGTTTTGTCCAATAAAAATTGAAGATTGCTAAATATGATTCATATTGAGAACAAGTTTTACTGTTCATTGATTACGAATCTGACGAGCTATGATTAATTTGGTCGTTGGCCATTTTATTGTCTAAAACGATAATAAATATGTTTAGATTGCTTTCTCTGCTGCATGAGCGGAAGTCATCTTGTAATGAAACCATTAACGTTTCACTTTGTTTTTGATAATATATCGCTTAACTTTATGATGTCAATATTTCAGCAATAAAAACTTCAAATTATCAATTTTGGCAAAAGTTGGCTTTCAAAATTTCTGTGAACGTCTTTATTTCTAACCTACCAATATTACATAAAATATTTTTTACTATCGTTTTTTTTGTGCAATTGACATATAGAGGAACAAAGTCATGTTATGTGTATAATAAGAGGGTCAGAAATTATTGCGGCTGGGTTTTGGCATTGAGCACGTTTTTATAGAATGTTAGTTATATAGTTTTAGGAATATATATATGGTTCCATGTAGCTTGGGAAATATGTGTGTATATGTGTGTGTGTACTGACTACTTGTGGTGGGATAGTGTGTATGTGCGTATGTGTGTGTATGCGTGTATAAGTACAAATAAGTTTACGAATTCCTCGTAGTAAGGAAATATACGCACGCATATATACACGCATGCTGACAGGAACACACCAAAATAGAAACAGATCCAAGAGCACATAGAGGTCACTAAAACATTAAAAGATTAAATGCCGATAACTACTCGCTGGACAAACCTTAATTGTTTTATGACCCTTCGCGCAGAACTCTTCATTGACAATTCTAGAAAGAAAATTCGGATTGCCAACACACAAACAGAATGTCTCATATCGAGAATATTCCACATTGAACATGAAGAAAAATTAATTATTTTAATAATATGTAGAAATCTCCACTTTCACCTGAAGACGGTTGCGAGACCAGAAACACGTGTCGGGAAATTATGTAAAACAAAGTATAATTTTTTCTCAATAAATCCACATTACAACCAAAAACGTTTGAGGCACCACCCTTCTTTTTAATATACATACTTTTCTCTCGTTGGAACCACTACAACATATTTCTTTTTATATTATATATATATATATATATATATATATATATATATATATATATATATATATATATATATATATAGTTAGTTTATTCAAATTTAGGTAATCAGTATGGGTAGACCTGAGGAGGAAGATATCCAGAGAGCTCAATGTAAAATTCAGAGCATATATGTTTGAATAAAAAGACAGACCACGTTAAGATTCCATGTAATAAGCTATTTCACCAGAACCCTTTAACAGGGTTCTGGATCATCAACTTTTACTTCCAAAAAGCTGAAATGAAGAATGAAATTTTCATTCTTCATTTCAGCTTTTGGAAGTAAAGTCTGATGATCCAGAACCCTGTTAAAGGGGTTATGGTGAAATAGCTTATTACATGGAATCTTAACGTGGTCTGTCTTTTTATTGATATATATATATATATATATATATATATATATATATATATATATATATATCAACTTATTCACAATTTGTAATTTTAATTTGTAATTTTCAAAATTACAAATAATCAAATTTGCTGATAAGTCATCTCTATTAAATCAAAGGAGTGAATTAACTGTAATTTACTGACACAGTTTATCATTTACCTTAAAAAAAATTCCGTATTACCGTTTCTTATAGCCATCATTTATTGGTATATAATGGTTAACCTTCTCCGGATAATTACCTTATTTTGTTTATTCAGTTTAAATATTGCTATGTATTGCCGTTCATTTAGTATTATTAATATTTGTTATAGATGTTCTATCTTATTTATTTTTCCTACTTTAAGAAGCTTCCGAATATAAAAAAATATATATTTTTC